AAGAATATCAATACCAAATCTCAAACTCGAGTATGAAGCCATAGTAATCAAAGCAGCTTGGTACTGGCACAAGAACAGACCTCAGAACCGATGGGATAGAATTGAAAACCCAGAAATGAACCTACAGACCTATAGCCATCTAATCTTCGATAAGGGAGCTAAAAAAAATAGAAAGGAAGAAAGACAGCCTCTTCAGTAAATGGTGCTGGCAAAATTGGTTAACTACTTGTAGAAAACTAAAGCTAGATCCTTATATATCACCCTGCACCAGAATCAACTCCAAATGGATCAAGGACCTCGGAGTCAAAGCAGACACTCTGAAAACATTACAGGATGGATTAGGAGAAACCCTAGGTCTTATTGGCACTGACTGAAATTTTCTTAATAGAGACCCAGAAACACAACAAAGCAAAGAATGGTTGGACAAGTGGGAATGCATGAAATTGCAGAGCTTCTGCATGGCAAAGGACATAGCTAGCAAGCTCAATAGAAAGACCGCGGATTGGGAGAAGATCTTCACTAGCCATACAACAGACAATGGTCTCATATCTAAAATATACCTTGAACTCAAAAAATTAAATCCCCCAACAACAAATCTTCAAAGAAACAGCTGCCCAACAAATAAGTGGGCTAAAGACTTAAAGAGAAACTTCTCTAAAGAGGAAAGAAGGTTGGCCAATAGACACATGAAGAAATGCTCAACCTCCCTAGCCATAAAAGAAATGCAAATCAAAACAACATTGAGATACTACCTCCTCCAGTTAGAATGGCTAAAATCAAGAACTCGAATAACAACAGATGCTGGAGGGGATGTGGACAGAAGGGAACTTTACTGCATTGTTGGTGGGAGAGTAAACTTGTTCAACCACTTTGGAAAGCAGTATGGAGGTTCCTCAAAAGACTCCACATAGAGCTCCCCTATGACCCAGCAATCCCACTTTGGAGCATTTACCCAAATGTTTACAAACATGATCACACTAAAGCTACCAGCACGACTATGTTTATTGCTGCATTATAAACTATAGCTAACATATGGAACCAACCCAGATGGCCCTCAGTACATGAATGGATCAAGAAAATGTGGTATATATGTACAATGGAATTCTATGTTTCCATCAGAAAGAATGGCATTGCCCCATTTGTTAGGAAATGGAAAGGCTTGGAAAAAATTATATTAAGTGAAGTAAGCCAGGCCCAAAGAAACATAGGTCCCATGGTTTCCCTTGTTTGCAGTATCTAGTATATGTCTGAGTCAAGAAGAAAAGGTCAGATAAGGTGATGTTAGGGAAATGAACCCTAAGATATGTATTCAAATGTTTTTTTTTCTTTCATGCGATTCTTTCTAACACATTTATAAGATTATTCCTCTGTTGCTTTGTATGTCCCTCCCCCATAGTATAACCCCTGCTTGCACTGCATTTGATGTTGGTATAATTTGTGGAGGGGAAGGGGAAAAACAAATGGTTTAAATAGGGCTACAGGTAGACCCATTGCAACAATGAGATGTACAGGTTGTTATGTCGAAAAAGAACTTGAAAACTTTGGTGGGGGGGGTCAGGGAGGACTGCGTAGGGGGGCGGGGGAAGATGGGAAGGGATGGGAAGGGCCAACAAAGGAGGAGGATACAATGCTTGATAAGAAATGTACTCATTATCTTGCCCATGTAATTGTGACCCTTCTGTACTGTATTTTCACAATAAAAGAAGAAGAAGAAGAAGAAGAAGAAGAAGAAGAAGAAGAAGAAGAAGAAGAAGAAGAAGAAGAAGAAGAAGAAGAAGAAGAAGAAGAAAAGAACTGCCAACCAAGATTACTATATCCAGCAAAAGTATCCCTTAACATTGATGGAGAGATCAAACTAAGCAAAAACAATTTGGGACCAAAAGCTGCCATCAAAATATCTACTAAAGAAATCCCAGGGACTAGGAAGATGGCTCAGTGGTAGAGTGCTTGCCTTGCATGCACGAGGTCCTGGGTTTCATTCCTCAGCACCACATAAGCAAAAAGAAAAAAGCCAGAAGGGGTGCTGTGGCTCAAGTGGTAGAGTGCTAGCCTTGAGCTCAAGAGCTGAGGGACAGTGCTCAGGCCCAGGGTTCAGGCCCCAGGACCAGACACACACACACACACACACACACACACACACACACACACACACAAGAAAATGAAAGAAAGAAAGAAATGCCATACAGAGATGAGGAAGCAAGCTGGAGATGATGGGAAAGCTGGGGAGGCATGGATGGATAACGACAGGGACAAATAGATCATGAGAGGGATGGATGGCTAATGAGAGGAATGGATGTCTAACAAGAAGGACAGATGGATAACTAGAGGGATGGATGTATAATGGGAAGGATGGATGGATATCAAGAGGGAAAGATGGATAATGAGAGGAAAGGACAGATATTGAGAGGAATGGCTGAACAAACAAGAACTGGGAAAGAATGGAGCATGTTCAACTCAGAAAGCCAGCCAACTACATGGTGAATTATACAGGACTCTAAAAACTCACACAGTGAGAATAAAGACAGATATTCACAGGAGAGGATCAAAAAGGCCCAATAGCTATGTGCATCTGATCCTATAAAATGCCACTTACTGAAATGAACTCCAAGATATGGAAACAAGAGGGTTTGGTTATTTTGCTCTTTTTTTCTCCTTTGTCCTGTTTTAGATTTCTGTACCTGGTGTCTTGTATGTAAGTTTATCAGGTTGGGGAAGGGTAAGGGAGGTACTGAAATGGAGGGACAAAGGGTGAACAAACGCTGCCGTGATATTTCACTAGACACTTTGAAAACAAACTATACAACATGTGGGGGAGGGGTTCAGGAGGGAAAAACTCAGAGAATGAGGGAAGATGAGACACTGTTAAAAACAAAGAAATGTACTCATTTTCTGACTTATGTAACTGTAACCCCCTATATATCACCCTTACAATACCAATAAAAGACTTGAAAAACAAAATGAAAATCAGCCAACTCCCAAAACAAATAAGGAGGATATAAAAATAAAACTATGCAATAAGCAGAAAAAGACACAATGAATGATGACCATCAGCTCATGACAGTCCACAATGAGCCAAAGGAAAATGGTCTCAGCTCTCCAATTAAAAGGCTTACATTGGCTGATACAATTAAAAAGAAGAAGAAGAAGAAGAAGAAGAAGAAGAAGAAGAAGAAGAAGAAGAAGAAGAAGTAGAAGGAGGAGGAGGAGGAGGACGACGACGACGACGAGGAGGAGGAGGACGAGGAGGATGAGGAGGACGAGGAGGACGAGGACGAGGAGGAGGAGAAGTTTAAGTGGAAAGAAACTCATGTCACTGGGTAAGAAACTCAGGTCACTGGCAAAGACACTCACAGGCTGAGGGAAAGGATGGAAGATCACATGCCCAGTGAAGAGAAGCTAGATGGTAACTGGAGTACCTGTGCTCATATCTCCCAATGTAGACTCCAAGCAAAATCCACCCCAAGAGATAGAAGCCAGGACACATGCATAAAGAAGTGATCCACCGAGACCCACAGCATTAAATGCTGCCCAAGATAAAATCACTGCAGGGCATAAAATAACGGAAGGTCTAGATGCAGTGATACTTCATGGGGAGCAAGAAAACTTTTCTTTGTGTGACTTTTCCCATTGTATTGGTGGGGGGAAAATCAATTAATCAATCCTTGATTTTTTTCAAAAGTAGGAGATTTCAATACCCCACTCTACCCAGAGATGATCCTGACACCCCTCCAAAAATCTAACAAAGGTGTCATGTCTGCCCTGGGGCAAGCTGGCCCTGTGCAGAGACCTCCCCACCTGCTGGCTAAGTCTCCCCCCAGGGTCTGTGTTACCTAGGGAACCGGCACACCTGGAAGCAGTCACTGCCCCTTCTGCTAGACCACATCTTGGGCTGCCAGTGGTCCTGGCTCCCCTCTGACCAGAGGAGGGTCCTAGGCCCTGAGGTCAGATCCAGATCCAGTGTGGCCACACCTTTCCTCCACCTGGCCACACCTCTTCCCATCCCTGGCCCAGATAAGTCCTGGCCTGGGGTGAGTCTCCCCTTTCCACCATGCCTCTCCACCATGCACCATGGGGGCAGCAGGGCAGTAAATACACTTCTTTTCCTGTCTGAATACCGAGTGGTGTTCTCTTCATGGGCCACCTAGTGAAACTACCTACTGAACACACCTTACAGAAGGCAAGTCAGCGTTAGGCTGAAGGCCTCAGCACATGTCTGCGGTCTAGTCCACCTGGAGCCGCAGCACGCTCCCTCTTCTAAGCCAAACATGGAATGACTCCAAATAGATCACACTTCAGCCCATGTCTTCCAACAAGTCGAAAATAACTGACTATTTCCTTACAGCCACCTGTATAATAGTACAAGAAGACAAAAAGACATCACAGAGAGAAAACACACTCACCCAATAGACCTTTCTTGAAGAAGGAGGAGAGGGGAACAAAAGGCTTCCTAGAATCAACTGGAAGTAAAGATGACACTTTTCAGTGTTTGCAATTCCACAGCAATGAAACGAGGGGTAGAAGGAAGGATTGCAGTGATGGGAACCTACATGAAAGATCAGAGCTAAGCATGCCCATCCACGTCTGAAGAGAAGGAAGAGCAAGCCCAGCCCCAAGTCAGCAGAAGGAGAGAGACAATAAAGATCAGAATCAAGCAAAAGGTGGACAAATGCAGCCGTGTTCCTCACTGGACACAATGTGGAAAATGGACTCTAGAACTTGTGGGCAGGGGCAGAGGGAAAATCTAGGACAGACTGAGGGCAGGGGTGACACTGTCCCAAATGAAATGAACTCTACCTGACCTATGCAACTATAACTCCTTTGGCATCCCCTTTAAAGAAACAAGAATTATGTTTACAAAGCATCAGAGATGATGAGTGAAAAATGAAATAATAGTGCAGAGCAATGGATGAAGCAGCACTCTTTGAAAGAATAAACTCGAGTGACAAATCTTGACCCAACTAACCAGAGCAAAGAGCCCCAGGCTGGCCAGATGCCGGAGAATGAAGCAGGTCAGTCACCAAGGAAGTCACCAAGGAAGCTCAGAGGAAGGAGCCCCAGAGCCCAGGCCACAGGGTCCCAGACCACCGGCATAGGGGAGAGTGACTGCTCCAGAACTTTCTCTCTCACACAGGATCTAGCGTCAAGAGCAGGCCCAGAACTCTGACTACATGAAACCCCAAGACCAGGGAGCCCGTGGAGAGCCTGCTGTTGTTCAAGACCTTCTGGAACAGCACAGACATGGAGGGGTGAGTGCGGCGGGCAGCAGGGACAGAGCCCAGCCCCGCTTGCCAAGTGTCCTGCTTCATTTGTCCTGCAAGGTTTGTCCCAGGAAGTGTGTCTCAGGAAGTGTGCCACGTGACTCATCCATGCTTGTTACTTTGCAATGACACACAACTTCCCAGGGAAAGCCCACACAGGACCAGGAAGTGACCATGTGCCCCAGACCAGGAAGTGACCTCGTGTCCAGCCCACACCTGACCCCGCAGGGACATAAAGGCCAGGCCAGGAGGCCCCACACCACTCACCTCTCTCTCCACCTGCTCCTCTCACCTCCTCCACCTTCCACCACCACAACCATGAGCTGCTGTGTGCCAGCCTGCTCCTGCTCCTGCTCCAGCTGTGGCTGCAAAGGGGGCTGTGGCTCCTGCGGGAGCTGCAAGGGGAGCTGTGGCTCCTGCGGGGGCTGCAAGGGAGGCTGTGGCTCCTGCGGGGGCTGCAAGGGAGGATGCGGTTCTTGTGGGGGCTGCAAGGGAGGCTGTGGTTCTTGTGGGGGCTGCAAGTCCAGCTGTTGCAAACCCTGCTGCTGTCAGTCCAGCTGTTGCAAACCCTGCTGCTGTCAATCCTGCTGTTGCAAACCCTGCTGCTGCCCATCCTGCTGTTGTAAACCCTGCTGCTGTGAGTCCTGCTGTTGTAAACCTTGTTGCTGTGAGTCCTGCTGTTGCAAGCCCTGCTGCTGCCAGTCCAGTTGTTGTAAACCCTGCTGCTGCCAGTCCAGCTGTTGCAAGCCCTGCTGTTGTGAGTCCTGCTGTTGCAAGCCCTGCTGCTGTGAGTCCTGCTGTTGCAAGCCCTGCTGCTGTGAGCCCTGCTGTTGCAAGCCCTGCTGCTGCCAGTCCAGCTGTTGCAAGCCCTGCTGCTGCCAGTCCAGCTGTTGCAAACCCTGCTGCTCCAGCTGCTGTGCCCCTGTGTGCTGCCAGTGCAAGGTCTGAGGCTCTGATCACAGACACAGGTAAGCTGGAACAGCAAAGGTCTTGCTGCTTCTCACAGACCTGAAGCTCCACCCCCACTATGCTCCAGAACCCTGGCCTCCTGCAGAGCCAGCATTCAGGGCACTAGCAGGGAGCCCCACCCAGGGGCAGAGCCCAAGCTGCTCCTGCTGTCCTTGCTGACCCACCCCTTCTCAAGAGCCAACACCACCAGTCCTCTTGGTCCCTTAAGCTCCCTGAATCCCTGGAACAGCCCAACCAGAGCATCCCTGACTCCTCCAGCTCTTCAACACTGGTCCTGACACTGCTCTCTCCCTCCTTGCCTACCTCACTGCCTGCCTCCTTCCTTCCCTCCCTCTCTCCTTCCCTCCTTCTCTGCTTGCAGCCCTGCCTTCCTTCCTCTGGCCCTTTCTCTTCCTCCCTCCCTCTTTCTCACTTCCTTTTCTCCCTTTCCCCTCTCTTTCTTCCTTCCCGCTCCTCCCTGCCCCCTTTTCCTTCTTTCCCCTGCCCTTCTTCTCCCTCCTTTCCCCCACCCCCAGCTTTGTCTCTCTCATCCTCCCCCTACCACGTCCAACAGGATGCTGTGGCATCCTTAAATAAAAAGCTTTCCAAAGCATGGTGTAATTCTTGTGGTGAGCTTTATTCATTCAATCATTTATTTATTTAAATGATAATATATTATATTATATGAGCTTCAATCTGACAGATAAAGTCCAGTTCTTTGGTTCTTCATTTGTCCAGGGACGGTGGTCCCTCGCAGGATGAGGTGGAGGCTCAGGGTCCAGGGCATGGGTGGCCAGGAAGGAAAGCTGGGAATGCTGCCTGGACCCCTGCCCAAGCCCAGGCCTTCCTGAGAGGAGGCCGAGCCTGTGTGAGCCTGGGGCTGAGGAGGGGATAGGCTCCTGTGGGAGGAAGCCTGGCAGAGTTCTAGGAAGACCACCCACCAGCAGCAGCTCCCTCGGTTCATGGGTGCCTGCATGCAGGGACATGGGACTAGGAAGTGCGTCTTAGCAAATCTCAGGCTGCGGGGCCCACGCACACAGGGAGCTCCATGATGGCGGCGAGTGCTGGCAAATGCCCAGTTCATCATGGACAAGGAGCACGAACTTCACAAAACAGAGACCTGAGTGCTGCCAACCATACCATACCGAGAGGCAAACCCAAGAATATCTCTGTCAATAAGGGCATGGAACACACTCATGGACCAAGCACTCAACACAGCAGAGGGGCTGAGACTCATCTGTAGTTCTCATAAAATGATGTACTGTTAAAACCCCAGAAAGATCCATGGCAAAACAGACGACCATAGACAGTGGAGGCAGAACTGCTTGCTGTGGGTCTTTGTTTTGTGTTTGTTTGTTTGTTTTAGTTTTGTTTTTTGCTGGTCGTGGGGCTTGAACTCTGGGCCTGGGTGCTGTCCCCCAGCTCTTCAGCTCAAGCGATTGCTCCACCACTACAGCCACAGCACCACATCTGGCTTTTTGTTGCTTATGTGGGGTGAGGAATTGAACCCAGGGCCTCATACATGTGAGGCAAGCATGTGCTCTACCACTGAGCCAACCTCCCAGCCCTTGCTGTGGTCTTTTAAGGCCTGCACATTGTAATAAGTAGGAGGCTATAAATAGCTAGGTAAATGCAGGACTGCCAGGAGAGGCCACCCAGAAATTGAAAGGAATTCCTTTCTAGGTAACTCTGAGCTCCAAGGTGAAGAGCTGGGGGAAGCGTGGCCCTGCGAGAGCCTTAAGTCACTGTCTCCCACCTGTAGGGACCCTTTGTGATCGCTGCAGCCCTGAAAACATCCTGCAGGAACCCACCACCTCGCCCTGTCGCTCCCGGCATCCTGCTCCCTGCTCTGTGTGTGCACACATCCCTGAAGCCCTGGCTGATGTGCAGACCCATCAGCTCTCCCAGTGCCCACCATCCAGGGACTGCAAATGGCTCCCCACAAAGGGAGCACAGATCATAAGGCAGAAACCCCAAAACCCAAGGAAAGCACTTATATCCTGTGTTCATTTGTACCCTCTACGGAGCCTTCGAATGCTTCCCTCCCCTAGTGACAAAACCCAAGGCATCACAGGAGCTAAAATGCCACAGAAAGAACTCAAAAGTCTAGTTTAGAAATGGTCAAAGGCCTCAAAGAGGATTCAAATAAGTGGATGGAGTTAGAAAGCTAATTTGAAATGACAAGAAACTCAGCAGCTGAGATGAGAAATACAGAAGGAAAGTTGTGTGGAGTAGAGGGAACTGAGATGCAAACAAAAACTACAAAAACCACAGAACGTCTACAGTGACATTGCAGCAGGAAACTCCCCAAACCTAGGGAAGATATGGACACCCAGGACGTGTCTAGAGCAGCAGATACTAGACTTGATCAGAGAAGAACTTCCATCTTGCATCACAGTGAAAATGTAGAGAACAGAGCCAAGGATGGATATCAGAGAGGTGGTGGGGAGGCCTTGTGATTCACAAAGGCAAATTCATCAGATCTATATCAAGAGGAACCCTAGAGTCCAGGAAAAGGTAGAATGATATGTTCAAGTCCTAAAAACAAAGAACTGCCAACCAAATCTTAAATTACTCAAGCTGATTCAAAGCTTTGGCAAAGTAGCAGGTGCCACGGACCGGGTTCTGCGGGTTCTGTCCGGACGACGGAGGACACCTAGTGGAGGAACTGGAATAGGTTGGGAGATGGCAAATAGACAACTCACACACAAGAGGAGTGGATTCTGAGTGCTGAGTGCGATTTAATGCAGAGGATAACAAACTTTTATAGCAAAAAGTCTCCATAAGAAAGGGCAAAAGGTTACACAATCTTGCTACAGGGCTTCATTCTTGGGCGGTCACCAGCTGGTCGCCTGAAAGGGCAAAAGGTTACACAACCTTGCTGCAGGGCTTCATTCTTGGGTGGTCAACAGCTGGTCGCCTGAAAGGGCAAATTTCCGGCTTATCTCTAAGAAATATAATGGGTTTCGACGTTTGTCACCATCTAACCATTACCTTATTTCTATAGAGGCCTTAACTGTCCCATAAGATCTTTTCTGTTCCTTCTTCAATAGTAAGGTCACGGAGGCCTAGATCTAGCAAGTCTCTTAGTAAATGTTCCTTCTTCAATAGTAAGGTCACGGAGGCCTAGATCTAGCAAGTCTCTTAGTAAATGAAAGAGAGTAATAGGAAGTTCTTTCTCCTAAGTAGTTATCTCAGCGATTGCCATACATTCTTTCTGTTCTAGCCGCGCCTACAGCTTTTTGTAAATCTCTTACAAGCAATTCCTTCTGCTGAAGTGACTTTATGAAACCCCCAATTTGCTTATGACTTGTCTACTAGCCTCCATAAGAGGGGTTTCAGGGTAGCACTTAACTCCGGTGAGTTAGTCATATTTTTAAGACACTCATCAGATATTGGAGTCGTCAACACTCTTAAGAAAGGGCTTTGAATAAGGGAACGTTGACAATGAGTAAGTACGATGAACAGCAGAAACAGTAAAAGATTAATAGGCACTCTTATACAGTGAGGAAAAGAAAGGCAGAAACACATCTTTCCCAGGGGCTTGCCAGCCTTTCCAGGAGATAGGCCTCTTTGAAGCCCCATTCTCCGAGGTAGACTTCGGTGAAGTCCCAAAACTCAGAGATAGGTCTCTGAAGCCCCTTTCTTAGGTCTGATAGATGGTTTCCCATGCTAAGCAGACCCCACTGGAGTAGGCGTGGCAAGCAGGGTATAAAATTAACCCTCAAAATTCAATGGCTTTTCTGTATGCCAACAATGAGAAAAGTGTGGCTGAAATTAGGAAAGCAACTCCATTTGTAATAGCCACACAAAAAATAAAATACCTAGGAATTAACGTAACCAAAGAAGTGAAGGACTTCTATGATGAAAACCTTAAAAACTTGAAAAAGGATATCAAAACAGAACTTAGAAAGTGGCAAAAAAAAAAATTCCCATGCTCCTGGATTGGAAAAATCAACATCGTGAAAACGGCAATACTTCCCAAGGCTATCTACAAATTCAATGCGATACCTATCAAAATTCCAACCTCATTCTTCAAGGAAATAGAAGAGGCAATCCAAAAATTCATATGGAACAATAAAAGACCCCGAATAGCAAAAACAATCCTCAACAGAAAGAACACTGCAGGAGGAATATCAATACCAAATCTCAACCTCGACTATAAAGCCATAGTAATCAAAGCAGCTTGGTACTGGCACAAGAACAGACCTCAGAACCAATGGGATAGAATTGAAAACCCAGAAATGAACCTACAGACCTATAGCCATCTAATCTTCGATAAGGGAGCTAAAAAAAATAGAAAGGAAGAAAGACAGCCTCTTCAGTAAATGGTGCTGGCAAAATTGGTTAACTACTTGTAGAAAACTAAAGCTAGATCCTTATATATCACCCTGCACCAGAATCAACTCCAAATGGATCAAGGACCTCGGAGTCAAAGCAGACACTCTGAAAACATTACAGGATGGATTAGGAGAAACCCTAGGTCTTATTGGCACTGACTGAAATTTTCTTAATAGAGACCCAGAAACACAACAAAGCAAAGAATGGTTGGACAAGTGGGAATGCATGAAATTGCAGAGCTTCTGCATGGCAAAGGACATAGCTAGCAAGCTCAATAGAAAGACCGCGGATTGGGAGAAGATCTTCACTAGCCATACAACAGACAATGGTCTCATATCTAAAATATACCTTGAACTCAAAAAATTAAATCCCCCAACAACAAATCTTCAAAGAAACAGCTGCCTAACAAATAAGTGGGCTAAAGACTTAAAGAGAAACTTCTCTAAAGAGGAAAGAAGGTTGGCCAATAGACACATGAAGAAATGCTCAACCTCCCTAGCCATAAAAGAAATGCAAATCAAAACAACATTGAGATACTACCTCCTCCAGTTAGAATGGCTAAAATCAAGAACTCGAATAACAACAGATGCTGGAGGGGATGTGGACAGAAGGGAACTTTACTGCATTGTTGGTGGGAGAGTAAACTTGTTCAACCACTT